TTATTAATTCTTTCCTGCAGTGTTTTCTTCAGATTGGGTTTCTTCCCTTTGTTTCTGTAGTTGATTTTTTACTTTAGATGCTATGAGTTCAGAGAATTCTTTTTTTATTTCAGAAAATAATTCTACTCTGAGTTACTCTAAGACTTTCTGTTGTTGCTTATTTACTTTTGATGCTATTAATTCAGACATTTGAGCTGAATTAGTGTCCTCTACACTTGTTCTGGGTGGGCATTGGGTTTCCTCCATATGTTTTACACTTGATTCTTTACTGCAGATGCTATTAATTCAGGGCTTTCTTTTTTCATTTCCAATCTGAGTTCCTGTATACCTTTCTATAGTTGTTTCTTTATTTCAGAAGCTGTTGATTCATTGATTTCAGCTGTGTGGTTCCCAATTTGTTCTGTGTTAGTGTCCTCTGCACTTGTTATGGGTAGGCTTGGGGTGTGAGATTGCATTTTGCTCCTTTTCATTGTCATTTTGTTTAGCACTCTCTTCTGACCTTTGTTGTAGAGCTTTGGGTCAGTTATAATCTTAGCACCTACTGAAATTCAGGTGCAGATCTATAAAGTTTGGATTTATCCAGCTGTGTCTTGCTTGGGTCTGGCTGCTGTGCTCCGCTCCTTCCTGCTGTTGCCCTTGGGAGTGATCCTGTTGTGACCCTCTGGCAAGATGTTCTGCTCCTGGACTAGCTGGGTGGCTTTGTCCCCTACTCTCTGTGCAGGGATTTTAGCTAAAGGGTTTCACCCCAGGCCTGTATGCCAGGCCTGAGCTGAGTCTGGAGAGGATAAGGTATAGTAGAGGGGAGAGGAAGCTCTCCCACACATGCCTAGGCTAGGACTGGATCTGGGAGTCCCCAGAATACTCTAGAAATTCTCACTCAGCAGGCATTGTGGTGTGGGGCGGTGCTGCAGAGTGGTGAGGGCTTCCAAGGGAGGGGATAGGGTTTCACCCACGCTATGCCTGTGCTGGGACCAGCAAGTCCTGCCGGTACAGGGTAGCTGGAAGATCTCCCACACTCTCCGTTCTTGTGTAATTGGAATTAGCCATCAATCACATCTTTAGATCACATTCATCCTATATAGCTTATTGGGAAACTTGTCTTAAAATTATTTGCAACTGTGTGAGATTTATTAAAATGTGGCACTATCCTGAGAGCAGCATCATTTATTGAAGCACTATGCACTTAGGGCAACTTTCTTGCATTAATGTAGAAAGCCAGGCAACAGACTATTACAGTTAACATTGATTAGGATGCCAGACACTGCCACACAGGAACTGAGGGGTTTTGGGCCAGTCACTTCATATCTCTCTCTCTCTCTCTCTCTCTCTCTCTCTCTCTCTCTCTCTCTCTCTCTCTCTCCTATATCAGGGAAATAATAGCACCTTCTTCCTAAGATTCTTGTGTGCATCATATAACTTAGCATATGTAAGCTACCTACAATAGCATGTGACAAGAGTGTACTATAAATGTTGTTTGCTGTGCTTTCTGTCTACATTATGAAATTTCTTGCCATGTAGCATCACTATCACTTTCCCAGTCCTTACTTCAACAGTGTGCCTACTTATTTTCTTTTCACTAGCTAACTGCATTTCCTTTTAATATCAAGCCCTGCAAAGGTTTTTAAAGAGATCTTTATCTCACATTTTAAACTTGAATACTTTATCATATAGAGCTAAGCTATTATTTGCTGTATGTGCTATCACTCACACAATTAGTGCTCATTCATTTCTTCTGGCCACAGTGTGTTATTAATAAGCTATAGTGGCAAAAAAAGAAAGAAGAAGAAAATGCCTTTCACGAAGTTTTTCAATGATCTTTTAAAAATCCCTGGATTTTGGCACTGGGAAATGGATTTGAAATAACTACAAGGAATGCTTGCTGTATTTTACTCATCACAGAATAGAAGAATTTGAGTTGTAGCCTTTTGTTTAATTAAATGTTAATATCTGAGAGGTCCTAACATTTATAACCTGAACTAGGTGTGTTAACTGTCAAGGTGCCAGGAAGCCTGGGCCAGCACATTCTTAGGTATCTACATTGTGGAAGACATAAAACCTGGATCCTGGGGCTGGGGAGATGGCTCAGTAGAACAAGTGCTTGCCTGGCAAGCACAACGGTCTGAGTTCAATCCCAGTTCTGAAAAAAAAAATCTCGGATCTTGGAGACATTTCTGGATTGCGTACAACATATGGGGTTTATCTGGTTTCTGCAAAAACTTAGTCATATTGCAAGAGATAAGGTTGAGACTCTATAATTCTTTTTGTTTTGTCCAAATAAAAATATTTTTCACTTATTTTAAACTTTTTTTTTCTCTTCAGGAAGAGTTGGCATAAGAGGGGGATAGATGTCTCCTCTGTATACAGATGGAGACAATCTACTGTGGGTCCCTCCTCTGTGGAATGGACACCTGGCTGCTCTCAGGGGAAGAATTCACATGAGGTCTTAGTGCAGCGTCTGTGGGACAACAACTAGAATTGGGGAAGCTTACACTTTACTGTGAAGTAGTGGATAAGATCTCTGTGGAGCCTGAACACCTAGTGTGCATTTCAGAGTGAATTTCACCAAGATGGGCTTGAAGAAACACATCAGACACATCAGAGTAGCCATATATAGAAATATAAGTTGAACTTTATTTGTAATATTGTTTTCAAAGCAATTAATCTTCTTGTTTGTTTCCAGATTCAGTATTAAAGATGTAGAGGAATGTGCTAGGCAGGCATGCATTTCCTTAAAGGAAAAGCAGAAGAGTAAGAGGCCTCCCAAGGCTGATAAAGAAGCTCATGACACAGCTAGCAAACTTCTAAAAGTTGAGAAATCCATTATGAAACGGAAGACACTGTAAGTATTTCATCAAACAAATTGGCCAGCAAAGAGTTAATAATATACCTGACTGCCCCAGTAGCAAACATACATTGAATGTGTTCTACAGAGAGGTTCTAGATAGTATTTGGAGTCATTTGCAAATCTGAAAGGGAGAATTGTATTGATGAACTTTTCTGTTTGTAGAAGACAAATCTGGCACCTACAGTTTAGAGGAAGAGAGATTTCATTTGCCTTGTGGTTTCAGTGGATTCACTCTGGTCCACTAATGCCAAAGCCAGCGCATCATGGTTAAAATGTGTGCTGGAATAAATGACGGTTTTGTTAGAAGATCAGGTTCAGCATCATGATAGTACCGATGTGCATAGTAGACAAAGTCGGCTTGATAAGTCCTTGATTTCTATGTCGTGGGATTGTTATTTTCATAAACAGAGATGAAAAAAGCCAGAATAACCCAAGGGTATTGGACCAAAGCCTCATACGTGTAGCTGAATATAATCATCTCCTGAAAAGTCTAAAGAAGAACTTGGAAATTCCCCCGGATTGTACATATGTTGATCAGAAAGCGATGGATGCTGAGGTCAGTGAAGAGAAGGTCATAGTTCTTTGGGAGAATATGTCATTTATTAGCCATAGCTTCTTTATCATAGAGAGAGACTAATGGAGAAACTAGATGCGACCCCTGGAGGAAGAGAAATTGCACAAGGATTCCATATAGGGCATTCTGGCCATGCATAACCCTTGACAGCTCTTCAGCATAGTTAAGGTTCACCTTTGATGGTGTCTGTCCCTTCCATTACACATTTTTCTCACCCTGAATTCTAGGCTTCAGTATTGCATGTCTCACTTGAAAATTTGAGTACACATGGTATGGAATTCTTTAAGAAATACTTGCAGAATTTCTCAAAATCAGAGATTTTCTCTATTATAGATAAAACATTTCAGGAGTAAGGTATTTTTGTCATTCATCTTTGAAACTATTTTGTTTTGCAAATTATTAATGCTTATGGTAGGGAAATTTAAAAAATACCACACGAAAAGCAGTGCTGTCACTCAGAAATAACTGTTTTAATGATGAACCTTGTATTTCTTTTACCTACTTCTATAAACATGTGCACATTCTATTTTATGTCTTTGTTAAGCTTCATGATGTCTTCCTTTTTTCATAACCATGTATTTTTGACACCATTTGAATGGAGTCTTGTAGTTCCTTGAATGCGGTTAAAAATCATCAACCAGCCTTTTGTTTTTGGATATTCAACCACTTTTTCTTTTCTCTCACAAGCAGTGTTTACTTTTCCACAAATTACTCTGGACACAACTTGACTTACTTCATAGAACAGAGCATTTTAGGGCCCAGTATTCAACCTGCAGTGGGGAGTAAGGATTGCACAACTTTACAGGTCAGGGGAAAGGTCTGTCTCCTAGAAGTCTGTTTCTCTGGGAAACCTGCTAAGTCTGGTGTACTGACCTGATCTTCAACCAAGCATGATCTTAAATTCACTTTTTCCTAGGTATCTTACCTACTTCTCTGTCAGAAGGATTTAACCCAGAAGTGGAAGTGAAACCCTTTGTGACAGTTTGTTCAAAGAATTGAGAAAATATGTCTTGTAATTGATGTTGTTGCCTCCCCCATTTTTATTTTATTTTATTTAAATATAATTGATTGTTGTGGGGTCTCACTACACAGCTCGGACTCATGGCAAGCCTCCTACTTTCAGCCTCCCCAGCACTGGGATTACAGGCATGTGCTGCTACACCAGAACTCTGGCTGGCTTAGCTTGCCCTGGCGGTGGGGCTGGCGCTGCCCTGTACTTACCTAAGCAGGTGTTTAATCCATTGAGCTATCTTGATGGCCCCTCCATTTTTTTTTTTTTTGTCACATAAAGTTGATTTCCAACAGTTGGTTCACATAATCACATTATTTTTTTAATTTTTAATTTTTAAATTAATTTTAATAGTACAATTTAAATATACACAATGATCACATGGATTATAGGGAACTTATAACTATTGCATATTAATTTTTTTAGATAAGAAATTAACAAAATCTCTGAACTACTTGCTTTTTTCAGTTATTGAAGATGGTGTTTGATCGTGTAAAATTCCAAAGAAAAGGTGAAGAACTGAAATGTTTGGCAAGGAGGGGTATTGGGTACCATCACAGTGCTATGTCTGCCAAAGAAAAGCAGGTGGCTGAAATTCTCTTTCGAAAAGGATTAATTAGGGTAGGCACTTCTTCTTTCTTTCTTAAAAAATGAAGTTGAATGTTTTTGAAAAATAAAAATATAATCATCTTTTTCTAATGTATGTCTTGTATCACTTTTTCATTATAGCTTATAATGTAACTGTATTTTCCCATTTTTATTTGTTTAAAATTTATCATTCTGTTTATCTATTTTGATGAAAATAAAAATATTTCCTTAACAGATTGTTTTCCAAATATGTCTATTGTGAACTTTATGCACGATGATCTTGGCACCACCCCTTGTTTTCCATTTATATTGTTTAGAAAACTTTGCCTGCTGTTTACATGATTTTGGTTGCATGCGTTTGGAGAATATTTGTAGTAGAGCTGTAATCAGGTCTTTCTCTAATATAATGCCTGAAATAGAGGCAAGAACATGTGTTGTCTGAGACTCTGCTGCTTACTTTAGCAGACTCTCTATATGTGTTACATTTTGTGGATGTGTGGCTCAGGGAATTGAACCCAAGGGCTTTGTACTGAGCTGTATTCCCAGTCTTTTGAAACTTTAAGACAGGGTCACACTAAGTTACTAAATTGGCCTGGCTGGGCTCCAACTTGCAATGCTCCTACCTCAGCCTCTCATGGTGCTAGGATTACAGGTGTGAACCCCAAAGTCAGATTTTGAGGTGTAACTTCTAAATATAGGTAAACTTTAGAGTTTTTTTCCTGTCCTTTTATTTGTCAGTTATTATAATTATAACTGGGGTTTCTTCCTTTTTTATTACTGATCTACATTATTTATGTAGAGGTCTCGTTAACTTTAGTAGAGGAAGTAATTGACCATAATAGCTTTATAAAAGATTTATTGGTCTTTCAGGTATTTTTTTCCTAATAATTTATTGATAAATACTGACACCTGTAATGTGCCAGATATCTTTTTTTGGTGATAGACATACAGTGGTAGATGATGCTTGGAGTCTGATATCAGACAAGTAAACAAACAAATAAGATCAATCAGGTAATTATTAGTCTTGAATGAGTAATGTAGAACGGAGAAGTGGATAATGATGGTAGAAGGCAATTGTTGTGTGGTTGTTCAGAAGTTTCTCTGTGACATTTGAGGAAACAGTGGAAGGAGCCCTCCAAATGGTATTTAGGGAGACTATTTGGGGTACACAAATAGCATTGTAACTTGACTTGAAAAAGTACATAAAATGTGTTTGTGAAATAGGAAAATATCAATGTATCTAATAGTGATAATCTTCATGCATAATTAAAAATTTAATTAAAATATTAAAAAAATTTCACATATAATTAAAAATCAAAGAGGTTTCAGTAACTTTGTGGAAGGAAATAATTGCATTTCATTAAAAGGCTGGCATGAAGTATCTTTTTGTTCTCTTGATAGGTGGTGACAGCGACAGGAACGCTTGCTTTGGGAATCAACATGCCTTGTAGATCCGTGGTTTTTGCTCAAAACTCAGTCTATCTGGATGCTTTAAATTACAGACAGGTATTGCAATGTGTATATGCTTATTTAATAAATTGCTAAAATGTGGTCATAAAATAATTTTGAAAAATGGAAACTGTCATCATTTTTCAAACATGCTGCGATTCACTGCATGGTATACTTGGCCTTCATCCCTGCCTGCGTGCCGTGTTTAGCAGGCTACAGTGGAAGGCACATGACGTTTCAAATCACGTCACTACCGCTGATCAGGGGTGTGACCTTTCGTGAGATATCTAAACTTCTTGCTCTTCCTCATCTGTCTCCAGAATGGGTAACAATTGTGATCTCATTACATTTATTTATTTATTTAGCTATTTATTTATTTTTAATTTATATATTTGGTACAGTCTCGCTATGCAGCTCGGACTCATAGTGATCCTCCAGTTTCCGCCTCCCCAGGGCTGGGAATTACAGGTGTTCACCACCACTCTTGGTTTTGGTGGAATCTCATTATATTTATAAGAATTAAATGAAATGATTTGTAATAAAGATGCATATAAAAAATGAGAAATGGTTACTTGTTCCCTTACTTTGCACACTGGATTTAATGCTTTTTTCTGCTCTGTTAAGACATATAATCTGTTATTAAGCCTGCTTTTTGCTCTTCTTAGTGATGTTAGATTTCTGCCTTACGTAGCTGTGTCTAATATCTTTCATCATACAGTGTTGGCCAAGTGGAACAATGTCCTTGAATTTAGATTCTTCTTATTCTATGTCCTGAAGACAGCATTGTACAGTATGGTAAACTTCTTAGAGACTGAGGGCCAAATTGCAACCCTAAACCCACTTATTTTTTACAAAGTGACAACACCAGTTAAACCAGAGGTTTCAATATAGAGAAAAACCAAAAGAGTCTTACACATTGGCATCTTTTGTTTTAAAGGAAAAGCAACAACAACAACAACAACAACAACAACAATGATAATAATAATAATATGCATGCTGTAGGTTTGCCACCGCTGGCATACATGTTTTTGTATAGTTTTCGTGCTCATGCACATTTGGTCATTACTTGGTTAAATTTAGATAGTCACTCATTATTTATATTTTTATCAAATGTTTCTCTTTTTCCTTCTGAAAACACTTCTTACTCTCCTATAAACAGTGTTCTTGCTTAATTGAGCATTCTCATGTTTGCCACTAACTTACCAGCCCCTGTCCTTTTATTTCTATTCCTGCTGCTGTTATATTCTACATGAACTGTCCTGGCATTTCATCTTGGAGCTCTCATACTTTGGTTTCATCATCCAGGGTGTTAGGACATTTGGGGTGACCGATTTGGGACTTAAATTGACAGAGTTTGAGTCCTGGTCTTCTATTTTCTAGATGTTTTCCAATGGGTAAGTTTCTTAAACAGTGTTCTCTCCACTCCATTTCCCACATTATGGGCCCAGCAGTTTTATAACCTCTGGTTATTGGAATGTCTGTATGATAAAAAAAGTAAAGAAAATCCAGACCGTTTCATGTAATTATTAATTAATATAACCTCAGTGGCATTTCTGACTTTTATATCACTCATGTATTTTCTCGATGTGTGCACAGTATTTATTTTTGTAATTCATACCTAAGCACTTTTATGTATGAGAAGGAACAGAAGAGAAAGGAATCAGAGAGAAAGCGCCTGGGGAGGGGGAAGAATCAATGCCACAGTTCATTAATTCAGCAAGGGAAGTTGAAATCAGGTTCCTACCTTTTGCTGCAATTTTCTTCATTATTATTGAAATTCTTGGTAGAATTAATGATATGAAATAAGTACGTAAGAATGCTAAGTGTCTCCTCTTCCAATTCTGACTCAGTCATAGATCTAAAGCCTACGAGCATGGATGTTCACTTCAGTTTAGTAACTTTTGGACCATGTACAATTTGCTTGCTTGCAAACAGCAGACAAGGCTCAGTTATTTTACTATGGAAGAAAAAATACTTAGAGGAGTTTCATATTGTGAATCTGTTCTGTTTCCAGATGTCTGGCCGTGCTGGAAGAAGGGGACAAGACCTGCTGGGAGATGTATATTTCTTTGACATTCCACTGTCCAAAGTAGAAAAACTCATAAAATCCAAAGTTCCTGAGCTCAGAGGGCAGTTCCCTCTAGGTATATCACTGATCTTGAGACTCATGCTGCTGGCTTCCAAGGCTGATGACTCAGAGGATGGCCAGGCAAAGGTACTGTACTGGGGGCCACCAGCTCCCTACCTTGGCCACTGCCCTGCTGTCATTGGGTGTGCTATTTTTTCCCCCTGGAAATCTGTACTAACAATCCTTCACTGTTAGAGTTCTTTTAATGCTTTTTAATGTCTTCTAGAGAGATCTATGGAAAGTAGATGAGAATAATGTATAGTTGTTTTTTTTTTTGTTTGCTTTATAAAAATGAATTTTTTCAGCTGAATGGGCACTGGAAGTGACCCAAGATGCTACTTTCCTATGTGGTAGATATGGTCTTACTGTAAATAAAGTGGCAAGTTGGCTATAAAAAAGATTTGGGTTAGGTTTCTTTTTAAATTTTTTTGTTAGTTTTATTGAGAAACAAATAGCAATGAGACAGTTTCAAAACAGGTTAGTAGGACAGTTGCAATAATTAATACATTGCATTGTAGCAGGACAGTCCTTGACATTTTTTTCTTTTTCTTGTTTTTTTTTCATTTATTACCCATTTTAAAAAGAAAATTTTACTTGTGAGATGGTATGATAATAATTGGTATGTCATGACAAGAAGTGTGTATATTTAGAAGACCAGAATGACAGACATTCCAAGCATGACCCTTCTATTACACATTGCTATCTTCAGTGCAGTTGCTTGGTTCATAGGTGTCAGCATGCATAGTCATAGTGAGAATCCTACCAATTGCATTTTCTTATGGGTTAAGTTTCTGATTCTTCCATTTAAAAGGAAAATGGCACATTTTTTATGATTCTGTAATAAAAGTTTACTTTTCCATAAAGAGTAATCTAGCTCCTTAAACACTATTTAAGAAATGCAGAAATTTGAAGCAAAATACCCCCACAAACATCTAGCTCTAGTACTCAGAGACAGTTATATTATCATTTTGGTTTAATCATGGTTTTCTAAATGTTTGTGCTTTTTTTGTGTGTTTGTTTTTTGGAGAAAGGGTCTTGCTATGTAATTTAGGCTGGCTTTGAGCTCACTTTGTAACCCCAGCTGGCTTCAAACTTGGAAGGATCCTCCTATCTCAGCCTCCCAAGTGCTGAGATTACAGGCATATACCACCGTGGCTGGCTTTTGTGCTCCTTTTTTTAAATGTGATTTTTCAACACAGATGAAGTTATGTATAATTGGACTTTAGAAAATGGTTCTAAGCTTTTCCTGATGTCTGGATTTAGATAAATATTTTGGGTTCAATCCCCATGAGAGATTTACAATTCAAATTAAGTAATTTCATTTTTGAAAGTATGTTGTTGAAAGGACATATATGAGTCTATTTCCTGCTGCTTATCATAATGTACCACAGATTCTGAAATTGTAGTGTCCAGGCTGCACTGAGCGACAGCCTGCTTGTTATCAGAGCTTGCAAAGGAACAGAACAGCTCATGGACGGAGAATGGAAGCATGCCTGTCTCTGTCTGGCCTCTCTTCCTCTTATTATACAACCACCAGGAGTCGATCTTGGGGTTTCTACCCGATAAACATTACCTAATTCTATTCACATCTCAAAGGCCCGGCCACTAAACCCTAAAGTCAGGCTAATATTGTACTCTTAATACCTCACAGTGGAGAACACATTCAAGCACAAGTTCAGAAAACCAAACCATATTCATACCATAGAAAGACCTAGTCTGCTTTTGTGGGGTCAGTTAAATCAAATAAACTCTCATGATGTGTTGGCTAGCTCTATAGAGTAGGCATGGATGACTTTAGACTAAAACTTTCTAGTGTTTTAAAGTTTAATTTTTACCTATCCATAGGGTGGAATGTAACTTCTAATAAAGTATATTATCATTTTTTTCAAAAGAGTTACAGAGGAGACATCATTGAGAGATTCTATCTGGGACTTTTTAATGCAGAAATTTATGTTTGAGCATGTAATTGTTAGGATATACTTTTTATTCATCATGTCAAACAGATTACCAGGTGGCCTTACGGCATTTGGTGCTAAGAGGAAATAACTTTTGGGGGTCTCAATTAGAAGAGCCATATTATTATTTTTTTCCTTTTGCAGTTCATTTGACTTATTCTTACCTGTATAATCTTCTGAAACTCTTCTTTTTCCTATTTCAAATTGTTTTCTCCAGGATTTTCTATTTTATATATCTTTTTCAAATTTGGCATTTTATTGATCACATAATGAGACTTCAATTTGATGTGCTCAGATTTTTATTGTGATGAAATCATATTAGACATCAATTTACCATGTTAATAATTTATTTTCTTTCTTTCTATAACTTTAATTGAGAAACAAATAGCAATGAAACAGTTTCAAATCAAATTAGTAAGACAGTTTCAATAATTAATACATTGCATACTGTCTTCCTAGTGGTTAATTGTTGTACAAGATGCAGACATGATATCCTATTTACAAACACTTTTAGAACAAATCCCTCTATTCATTGAATTAAGAGAATGTAGCTGCGTATCTATCCTAACCATCTTGAATACACAGATACAAAATGGTCATTCATCTGCCCCCCCTTTTTTTTTGAAGGAAAGGTTTATTTAGCTCACAGTTACTGGAGGTTTCAATCCATAGTCAACTGGGTCCAAGGCAGAGCAGCACATGGCAGAAAGCAGCCTCTCATGGTGGTGGTAAAGAACAAGAGCACAAAGGGAGTAGCAGCAGCTCAAGTAGCTAGCTTCTTTTCCCACTATCTGTCCCTTTTTTGTTTAGTTCCATCATTTAAATATTATAGGTGTGTGAACAAAGCAAAATATTCTAAAAGAGTCCAGTAGCCCATAATAGTATTGGACCTTCCTCATGACTGGCAATGTCAGAAGTTGTGGACCTGAGTCCCCTACACCTCAACATAACAGCATGGCTTTACTTCTTGTACTTCATTTTTATACTTTTCTGCTGGATGGTTAAGACCAAGATAAAGCAAGACCTTTGTAGCAAGAATTGTAGCCAACATTTTAGCCCTAGCCTTCCAAGGTCAATTAAGACTCAGGCCATATGAGAACCTGTACTGTAACATCATGTAACTCAGTTGTGTCCCAGATTTTCTTCTTTTTCTTTTTAAATTAATTTTATTGAGATAAATAGCAATGAGGCAGTTTCAAAACAGGT